TATAATATGTCAAATTATTCTAACTTGCATTGACAGCGATGAGTTGTTACAAGTATGATCAGTTGGAGGATGGATATATAGATGACATCATTAACAGTTTTTTGTTTGGTTATTATATAAAACAAAAAGATTGCTATGCATCTGTTCAGTAAATAGATCATAGAAGATGTAAAAAGGTGGTAGGAACATCATTCAGTGACACACTTGGCTATCACCTTCCACTTTTTTCTTCTTAACACATTTTGCATCATCTGTGATCAATTACTGAACAGATGCATGACAAAATAGAATCTCTTTGTTAAATTTAACGATTTATTTGCCATGCAATTTGCACCATTCAAAAACCTTAACACAACAATCTTCATGATTTCCTTGAATTAAAACAAAATCAGGTGAAACAAACACACAAAATAAATGTGAATAATTTAGACAAGAGTGAACCTAGAATTATTTGTTGAATGTTCTTGTGTTGCAAGCAAAATCAGTCATAAGAGAAACAAATAAACCACCAGTCACACAGTAAAAATATTATCCATGTGGTATAATATATGGATTAGATAATTAAGTAATAGAGAACATGTACCATGTTTCTATGGAGCTATAGAAACACAAGTGGAAGTTTGGGAGAACAAGAAAAGCTGTGGGAACACGAGCTGATAGGAGAGTGTTTTCACAGCTCTTTTGAGTTCTCCCAAACTTTCACAACTGTTTCTATAGCTTGATATAAGCACAAAGAAAATGTTTTCTGTCTTTTAAAGAAGAGCCCAAAGAAAACAATGTGCCTACAACAACTTTTCTGTGTTTCTATCGAGTTTTAGTATAAATCTACAAGTGTTCTATCACGAAAGCCGCTCACTGATTGGCTACGCTACTCACTATCTATTCTGTGATAGATAGTGAGTAGCGTAGCAGTGTGCACTTGTTAACAGAATGACGGCCGCTTTGCATTTTGGAAGTGTCTGAAGTCTGAGTATTTAGATAAAGTTCTCTATCGATTTCTATACATCATAGTTGACTCGGACTGCACCCTCGTCAACTATCACACGATAGAAATCTCAAGCTCATATTCTAATTGTTTGATAGAAACTTTTTTTTTTTTAAGAAACCAATTAGTGCGCACATTTTCTTCGGGCTATTGTCCATTTAACTCTTAACTCACAAGTTTTGAATTTACAAAGCAATCAAATATAACACTAGCAAGAAAATTGTCTCATTCAGTTTTTTTGTCAGGCCTAACTTTTAGAAAAGCATGGTAATAGAAGTTGCCGAACAAACCAAGCATGCTAAAGCCATAGAATATGCTATAAACACAGAAACCATGATGCAAATAACCTACAGAAGAGTGAATAATACCAATGACAAACTGGAACATTTGAAGCTGCGTCATTTGTTGCTTCCATTGCGGCCTCTGGGAGGGATTAAGGGCTGATTGGCCATAGTAAAGGTAGAGAAAGACGTGTACAAATGAATTCATGCCCAACATGACTCCAATTGCTGGCCACGGAGAAACATGATAGGCATAGTCACTCAGTAACAAGATACTTTCATGATGGTACACCTGAAAAAAAAAAATGAATAATAAAACAAATGGGACAAACCTATAAGAAGGAAATGATAACAATATCATATTTAGTAAACCATTATAGGCTTGGGACAATTCTTTTTTAGTAAAAACATGAGGGACAGAGCACCAGTAATACTAAACTTTCCAGAAAATATCCATACCCCTTGTACAGACTCAGAGGGGGTTTTGGTTTGAGTCCCCCCCCTCCCCACCGCCCCACCCTTCAAACCACTCTGGAAATTCTAGTTTTCACTGGCACTTTCTTTACATATTTTGGCCTTTGACATGCCCCTCCCCCTTGAAATCTCCAATAATCCTCCTTGGGGTAGGTATGGATATTTTCTTGAACCACAAACCTTTACAAGTAAGATTTACAATTGCTAATATAACACAAATGCAAAACCGATGAACTAAAAAGAGATAAAAATCCTTTCATCCTTAGTTTTTAGATCTGTATAATAACTCAAAAGTTGATTGAATGGTCCAACATTTTGTAGCACGATTTAATTTTCAACACATGGCTACTTCAGCTCTCTTGTGACAATATCAAATGGTTGAAACATATACTCACCCCAGGGGGTTTCCTGTATGAAATTGGTCAGGTGATCATTGGAAATTCTATGAGGAACTCCTCAAAGTATGGGAATCATGTTTTGTGGGTGCAGCCTCTTTGAAATACCAAACCATGAATGTCAACTCTCAAAGGGTCCTAGTCGCCTTTGTTTTCCTGTGCATGTGAGAGTTTGGCTATGATGCATTTGATTGGGAGCATGTTGTAACAAAGGAAATCACTGTGAAACAACTTACAGTAAAACAATAAATTTCACTTCACGATGAAATATCAGTACTTTTGATGGCATAAACAATGCCGGAGGCTGACTAAGGTCCTTTAAGAGGTCACATTGATGGGAGTCCCTACAGTGTAGGTGTCCTCTGCCTTAAGTCCAAAGTCTAAACTTACGTGTAAAAATGTGATTTGTCTCTGCCGATGTCTGAGAATCATGAACACTGTATCCAGTAATTCCAGGTGTTTGGTGATCCAGTATATAAAGAATGCGTGTTTAACATCAGGGTCTGGTACCATGGCAAACATGTACAGTAAACCTCCATGATAAAATGACTTGATAATAGCAGCCAAAGAATACAAGCTGAGAGCACTACACAGAAAGTTGTACCCCACAAGAACCTGAAATTACAAAATGTTTCCTGTGAGTTACAAATGTAGAAACTAAAAATCTACCATGCAATTTATCAGAGGGTGTGGTCCCCTGTTTAAACACAATATTGTCTTTACCTTCTGCAATCCAAGTGGAGAAGTACATTTTTTCCACAGTGAAGATGTTGTAATAAGAACCAAATAAACGACAACCACAGGAAATGCCTGCAGTCCTAAGACAGCTTTTAAAAATGTCAAGTACTTTTCTGGCAAGAAAGAAGAGTGATATAATCAGTGTAATTGCTTAGTGGTTCATTGGCTTGTATTAATCATGACTGAAATATTTATTTGCGTAATAAATCAGGGGACCTCTTCAGGAATAAACCTACAGGTAAAGTCTCAGAGCCAAATTTATTTGAAGAACATTTTGATAATGGGAGGTGCCGTGGCCTCATGGTTAGTGTGCTCGTCTCCAGATCGAGCAGTTCGTGTTCGAGCCCTGGCCGGGGACATTGTGTTGTGTTCTTGGGCAAAACACTTACCTCTCACAGTGCCTCTCTCCACCCAGGTATAATTTATAAATGGGTACTGGTGAATTTAATGCTGGGGGTAGTCCTGCGGTGGACTAGCAACTGGAAATACTCCTAGTCACTTCATGCCACAGCACCCGGGATAAGCTCTGGCGTGATGGGCCACTTGGCTTGTATGCAGTTAATATAACTTGGTAACTTCATATCTATATTTGGTAAGGTGTTTTTTATTTGATAGACTGTTTTTCTTTGCTTTTATGCATTTTATTATTATTATTATTATTATTATTATTATTATTATTATTATTATTATTATTATTATTATTATTATTATTATTATTATTATTATTATTATTTACTATTTTTTCATTTTTCATTTGAATAACCCACCTCACCCCCAACCCATCCCATCCCCACCCCTGAAGGTTTGCAACCGTTTAGATGGCGGGCGGGCCGATATCGCGATCAAACCTCGAAAGTTTGAGTGAATGGAGAATGCCATCAACGGCAGGTTTTAAGAACTACAAATTATAAATTAATTCAAAATCTTCATTAACTGGCCTTTATCCTTTTAAAGAATCATTGGGAACTTTCCCATAAAAAAACTAAGTATAAAAGCAGATCGGTGTTCACGACTCGCTCACGAAACCCAGAGAGAAATCCGCGAAAATTAAGCTGCTACAAACGATTTTTTTTTTTTACACGTGTTGTACACACGTGTTGTACAGCTACATGCAGAAGGTGCTATGTCAACGGTAACATACCTGCCCGCGACTCCATCGCAAACAGAGATAGAGTTCAGTGGCCTGCTGCCTTTTAGTTCCGTTTGTAGTATAAATCTTCACAGGTTAATGCAAAGTGCATAGTTGGAGACTGGGCTCGATATGTCACGCAAGAAATATCACGCAAGGGAGCTCACTGTCATGTGGCCATGCAGATTTATTGGAGGTTCAACTCCCATAGGATTTGTTTCGGACACCGACCCAACATGACCGCCGTTTTATTGTTATTAGACACCAATCCCAATATGGATACCGTGACATCATGTGAAAACACTCTATTATCGTCATGAGTGCCCCCTGACATTCTCGGCTGTCATTTTCACCCATTCGCGTCTCTTGCACGCAAATTTTAATTTTGAATTTAACCCATCTCACAGATATATTGCTCAATATAGTTTAAGAGACGAGAGGTTGACTTTGAACCCTGAAAAATAGTTCATCGTTCCAATTCACACTTTCACCTTGGTCACATGCGAATCAGAGTACATGCGCTATCCACAAGGGAACAGCGACAAAAAGATTTGCAATTATAATACTTTGACACGGTTGAGCGAAGCGTGATCACACCACCTTTTGAGTGAATCGAGCGAGCGGGAATATTCTTCGCTCACCCGGGCAAGTTCCATTAGCTGAAGAATAGAGCTTCTAGGATGGGTATGACCTTAGCCGGTAAGTAAGCAAACCCTTCATTTCACTCTGGCGCAGTGTAGTGTACATGGTCTGGCTTCGAGGTGAAATTCACAGCGATTTTTCGTCTGGAATATTCAACTTCGAGGGTCCATTCAAATGATTATCTTGCTTCTATTTTTCGGGTAGAAATGTAGAATCACACAACTTAATGTAATTAGTGGTTACTTGTGATTAAGTACTAGAAAGGCTTTTTATTTCCTGTATCGGACATCCAGGCGGAAAGAAGCTAAGCGCTTGCAAGCCGGCGTTCCGATCTTTTATCGAGACATCATTATTTATACTGTGTATAAAAATATATTCATGAATGCTCAAAAACAGATTCGTTTCGCGTCATAACCTTTGCCTGGGTAATTCGAAGTCCTTGCTCTTGTAGAAACAGCTGCTGGGATCAACAACATGCATTATTCAAGACGTATAAACTTTGTCGGCTTATGACGCTACCAGGACAAGTCCACCAGCCGTAGCGAGTCTCTAATTAATTATTAAGTTTGTTTTTCTTTTCGTTCCAGAATTTGTGGCGTACTTTGTCAGTGGTATCTTACGGCTCCAATCGACACCCGTGGTTGTATTGTACCTTGGAATTGTAGCACTTTCGCCACTTTGGATCCGTAATGTTCGCGCTCTTGAATTTCGCAAGGTAAAAAGCAATCATGCAAATAATGGTTTTGATCTTGGGTAATGTTGACAATATCCCTATCTCAATATCCCAGTCCCTGCACTCTCACTTCCCCTCCTGGGGGGACTACTTGACCCATGTCTGGGTATAGGTAAGGGGTGCGCCGAGGGTTAAACAAACAACCATACCCTGTTTAGGACAGGAGGACTGTTTAGGACAGAAGCAAGCGACCCTGTTAGGACAGAAGGAAGTAAAATTGTATACCCTGATCAGGACGGCGAGGCCCAAAAAAAAAATGTCGCTATAACGGTCAAATAAGTTAGTACCCCTCTTCGGGCTTCCCCGCTCCATCAACCCCTACATACAACGCTCGGGGAAGGGAGACTTGAAGGACTGGACAGCTATCTCTGTGGATAGCGTTATATCCTCGCTTTGAGCAACTGGGACCAGGAAGTTCTCGTCGCGTCGACAACCGTCGTCATACTTTGTTTGTGTCCACCCATCTTCGTTCTCAGAGGCCGCGCTCTTTGGGAATCAAGATTCGCGATTCTTGATGCTGACCAAAAGGAGCGCGGACATCTGGGGACGAGGACGGTGTCCGCCAATGTCGACCCCAGTGCAACTCGCTTTAGTCGTTGCGAGAAAAGGTGTCCGCATGTCTGGAATTGCGCACGCGCAATTTTACGAGTTTTAATAAGTTTTAAAATTTTTTCTTCTTTTGCACAGGTTCTTGTGGTGTACAACTTTGCATGTAGCCTGGTCAGTTTGTATTCCGTAGCCTTTGTCGTCTTTGGACTTGCTAGGAACTGGCCTCACTCGCTTTTTAGTCGTAAAGAAGATCCGCTTATAACTCATGCTATCTGGGTGTATTACATGACGAAGTATGTCGAGCTTCTGGACACAGTCTTCATGATTCTCAGACACCGGCAGCGCCAAATATCTTTTCTTCATGTAAGTGTCCTGAAAATGCTCAGTTCAAGTACAGAGTAGTCAATAATATGCTGTCAAGGCTGACTACGTGACTGCCTGACAGACGGACTGACCGACAGAGCGACTGACTGAACGACCGGACTACCAATCCGACGACGTTCAGACCGACAGACCAAGCGACCGAGCGGCAGAACTACCAATCCGGCAAACGACAGACCGACTGACTAACTGACCATCCGACTGACCATCAGTTAAGCAGGCAGGCTATGAGAATAAAAGAAATGTAGAGCAAATTATACTCATAATTAAGGTGTTCTTCAAAAACGCTTCAAAAGAAATGCACTCGCACTCCACTTAGAGGAATTTGCTGCTGGCTTAGCCACTGGTGCGGAGGCTGGGTGGCTTAGTGGTTCACAAGCTGGTCTCCGGATCTAGTTGTCAAGGTTCGGGCCATGGCCAGGCTCGGTTACTCGGTCACTACGTTGTGTTCTTGGGCAAAACACTTTGCATCCCAATGCTTCTCTTCAGATCAGAGTTTAGATGCACAGGTACCGCCGAATTAATCGCTAGAAGGTATCCTTGCGGTGGACTAGCATCTCATCCAGGGTGGAGTAGAAATACTTCTAGCTACTTCATTCTAGACAAAGTGTAGTCTCTCTTTCGATCGCTTAGTTCGTCGAGCGAGACCGTAAATAAAACCGCGAGGGAAAAATGATCGCGTGGGATCCTGGGTGCGAGAAGTGTGCTTCTTGCTCCCAGGATTTTGCCCGACCAGTTTTTTTCATGAGCCTGTTTTTCGCGTCACGCACGACGGACTGAGCGAAAGAGGGACTACTCGCCGTCCACTTCCTGCTACTAGAACCGGAGCCTAGCTCCGGACTAGTAGGACACATTACACTTCAATGAACACTTTTTCCTTTTGTCCACAGACGGCACATCGTGAAAATTTACTCCAGAATTGTTGAGTTCTCTGAGATTAATTTTGATGTTAAATTAACTTGCAGGTGTATCATCACCCCAGCATTCTGATGGTGAGTGAATACGCCTACACGTACGGACGGTGGCCAGCGGTCTCTGTCACACTTGGCATGAACGGAATTATTCACGTGTTTCTGTATTACTACTATGGCATATGTGCCCTGCAGCCCGGAAAGAGACCCGCTTGGAAGAAACAGCTAACTCAGCTTCAACTAATTCAGTTCATGGTCGGACTGTGTCACTTGACCGTAGGGTACCTCCACCATGGGTGGTGTGCTTACGGAATCTGGTACGAATTGACCATGGTCTGGCTATTTTCCCATTTTTATTATCAAGCCTACATCAAAGAAAGGGTCAGCGTCAAAAAAATAGAGTGAATTCTTTTTACACACCAATGGATGTAAACGCTTTCTGTCGTGGGGCAACGCCGGTTTCCTATCTTCTTGCGAAGAAATCATGTTAAATTCCTTACGCTAACGAGAATTTGTGGATTTTAATGAAACCAAATTGTTTGAATTAAAATTTTGGACGGAATTCCATAAAGGAATTGGGGGATACCAGAAGGTTTGTGTTAGCAGTCAATTAAACTTAAAGTGATCTGCTCCATTTACAAGACTGCAAGCAGTGAAATAACGCTAAAATAAATTGAAATAAAAGCCATTGCACTCTTTAACTGTATTTGAGACCTAACTTACAGTGCGACTTCTCAAACCGGACCACTTGGAAAAGAGTAAACCAATCAGAACGTGACTTGAGAACAAAGGATAGCAATTATTCTCACTCTCAAATAAACCAATAACAATGAAGAATACGAAAAATAGATCTTTTATAACACTGACAACCCAACAAAGTGCAGTGTTGTGATTACTGTTAGTTTCGATCCTAAATTTTAAACGCTTTGTAACGGTTTCGGTTTATTTAGTTTGCGCAAAATCAGTTTTCATGTGAAAGTTTTTCGAGCGAGATTTATAATTGATAATTCACCGTCAAGGACTGAATCTCTTAGAGCGTGATAGTTTTTATGTTTTCACGTCAAAAAGACCGTTACTCGCCGTCACGAGAAGCCACCAGTCAATTTTCGTTTTGACTGGTTACAGTGGAACCTCTCCACAACGGCCACCTTAGGGACAGAACGAAGTATGCGAGAGGTGGCTGTTATGGGGAGGTGGGGGTGTAATATAACTTCTGTTTTTTTTCAGGGGTGCAACATTTTTTTGCAAAAAAAAAAGCTTTTTGTAGCACACAAATTACACGATTAAACTACATCAATCCGGAACAGAAACTAAATAGATACAGATACCAATTAACGACGCGCGGTACGGATCAAGGTTTGTGACCTTTTACAATAAAAATTAGGGTTTTCTATACACCGTTCGTCAGTCTTTGATTGCCTGTACTGGCCGTTACCGAGAGACTAGGGACTTTACGCAAAACACGACGGCAACGGACCCGAAAACGTCACCAAAGAAAAGGTTTGATGATGGTACATTTCTTTGCCGTCCTCTGCTTAACAGTAGCGTAAAATGACCAATTTCTGCGTTGTCTGGAAAACGTGAACCACAACGGCTAATTTTTCATATTTCTATTTGGAACTGAACGCATTCGTAGCATATATATCTGAGAGAATTCGCAAAAACATGCCCCCCAGGTTTTCGCCTGGCGACGGCAACGAGAACGTCACAAAACAAAAGGTTCATTTAACAAAACAATGGTTCTGCACGTACATTTTGAATATTTGTGCATTTCTTTACCGTCCTCTGCAAAACAACAACGTGAAATGATCAAGTTGTATGTATTTTGGAGAACGCGTACAGCAATGGCTAATTTTTCGTATTCCCATTTAGAATTGAACGCTGTTGGTGCATATTTAGCCTGAGCAGTCTGAGCAGGTTTTCAGACCGATAGGCGTAACAGATCTACACAGTTGCGACATTCGAAGGTAAAATATGAATACCTTTTTTACAAGGCGTCGTCCTCAGCGTCGCCGTCGTCATTGCTAAAACTCCCTCTTGTTTAAAAGATAAAGCCTGTTGAGGACCGAAGTGTTTCTAGAAGCTAGCTATCGTCGCAAGCTTCATTAGTTGTATACATATATATACTAGAACATGACACGCTTTGGAGTGGTAGGTATACCTGATGTAATATCCCATGTGTTATTTGTATTTTCTGGATATATACACGAGCCTAGATATACCACGTGAAAGCATTGCATGATTATTTGGTATCATACTATAGACAATACGGTGGCCAGCGGTGGCCAGCACTATTTATGCGACATGAGCGATACGCAAGTCGAGAACCGTTTGGATGCAATACTGTCGAGTGTACAACGGCTTTCGTGTCAGTCTGATTGGCTCGTATTTTCAACTGGCACTTTCGTCGCATTGAGTGACTCTCAGT